TTTTTACCATTTGAAAATTTGTTAGAATAAGAAATTGTGATAAAACTCAGAATTAAAGTTTACAAAATGACATTGAATAACCTGAGTTTACTTTCAGTGCTATTTAATATCTGTTATTCATTATATTTTGGGTTAAGGAATTGAAGACCTAAGAGTTTTTTGATAGAGTTTAGTTCTCTGAGGTAGATGGTTTGGTCGTGGAGCTTTCATTGTTCAAAAGAACGACCAAACCATCCAGCTCAGAGAACTAAATTCCATCAAAATCATCCACCTGAGCTACAAATCTTCTCCCCCATCTTAAGACTTAAGAGTCTCCAATAATGTCAGAAATTATCTTTTAATTAGTTAATGTAACATTTTAATTCAATTATTCCGATGAACCTTCTAGGAAATATTTTGAATAGACATTTTGACTAGAATTGTCCATAAAGATGATTTTTTTAATTATCATGTTCAAAAATTTTAAGTGTTATTCCTTTAAAACTGCATCCTCACTGACTGATTTTAAGGCTCACGCCACATCCTCCCACAAATATCCAATCATCTCTTATTATATTATCGACAATAAAAGCATGAAATACATTTCCAACTCTTCTGATCTTTCAATGTTTATTTATTTTCTCAACTGTTGAATGACGAGGGCTACAAAATTATCTGGAATATATTGAATTTGAGTTTCCGATTGTTGTGTGCATCGAATTATTCAGCTCAGTCGCATACACATGACTGAATTTTGCGAAAGTCCCACTTTTATAACAGAATATTTATTTCAATGGTCAAGATCATGAGTCAATTGAAGCTAGACTACCATGGAAAACCTGAAAGCACTTGACGGCCGTTTCATCCTATTGTGGGACCCCTCGGCAGTGCGCATCCACGACTCCGCCCTCTGCAAAATTCGAACCCAGGACCTACTGGTTTCGCGCGCGAGCACTTAACCACTAGGCCACTGAGCCGGCATCCAACGCTGTTAATGTCTAACTTCAACTAATTCGCGAAATTGAGCGACGACCGTCCAGTGCTTTCAGATTTTCCATGGTGGTCTAGCTTCAACTAACTCATAATCTTAACCATTGAAATTAACTATAGTATCCACAAAACCCATCAGAATATTTATTACCGTATTATTAGTTTTCTTACTAAGTAAATTTATTAATATGTTAAATGATTCCCAATCCAAATGTATAGGTGGATTATGGAGTTAATTACCTATCTACGAGCTATTAAAAATATGCTAGATTGTGAATACTAGTTTTTTTTCATTTTTATTTCGAATCATTCTTTCTAATTATATGGCAGAATCTCATTTATTTCTCCTGGATTTTTTTAAATTTAAAATTCAGGAGATGGAGTTTTCACACCATCGGAATTGGAAATATTTTTACAATTTCATGAGATAATGCTTTAAATGATCAATTCACCTCTTAACAAACCGGTGTGCAATTCAAACAGGATAGATTTTTGCAATATGAGGTGACTATTTGAAGTGGAATATGAAGAGAAAAATAGCAAATATATTAGATATTTCATGTGGCAATTTTAAGTATTAATCTCTTTTGCTTTTGCTTACATCAAGATTCCAATATTAATGCCATTGCAATTACTGTTGTCATTGTTGTTATCACCAAGTACTTCGTTAACCCTTCTTGATTATGTTGTTATTTGGTCAAATAAATGTGGTGAAAACAAAGACAATTAAATGAAATTAGTTTTAACTTCGAATATCTGCAAAATTGGATCATTTAGTGATTGGTGAATTTTCATCATAGTAAGAAAGTAATGCTATGTGAATCCCTATAAAGGTTTATGTAGTTGTCTAATTAATGTCATGTCAGCGTATTATCGTCAACTATCTGTCTAACGTAACTTCCTGATTATATAATCTTATAATTAAATTTGTTATAAAACCTACTGATAGTTAACTGATAATGTCAGTGCTAAATATGTTCTAGATATGAACGAGCTAAATTTTGAGCTAGAAACAATTTTCAAATTTGTCAACTGTCACTGTGTTGCTTTAAAAGTTGGTAAAAAGTTACCGTCACTATTTGATTATATCTTCATTTATGGACAATTTTCCATATGCAATGGAACTAACTCATGGAAAAATACTGCTTCGTGTAATGAATGAAGCTAGGCAAAAAATCCCATTTCAACCATAATCAAAAATTTATGCTAGACTATAGCAAAAAATCTGCTCCAGACAAAATAAGAATATGGTCAAAAAGAATGCCGACGGTATATCAAATATAAGAATAGGAAGTGATAAAGATTAATACTGGTAGAGATATAGTCGAGCTAAATCTCGTTCATTCGAAAGGAATGTTATATTGTATATTATACTGGGAAAATATGAAAATATTCAGAAGGACCTTCACATGCTGCTATTCTGATACATTATTAGAACAATGAGTTACACTAGTCTTTAAATTTTGATCCAGATAGTTATGATGGACAAACGGATGTAACTGTTCACAGATATCTTTCACTCTACAGCTCTTCATAGGCGTCAATAAATAACGTGGTGCAAAAGCACCTCAGACACATCAAACGTATTTCACTCCTAAACATCAACATTAAGCTACCAAACTTCCGCATTATTTGTACTGTCTTCACACGAATGTGGGCATTTCTCAGAAGACGATAACTGAATGTCTTCAGCTGTGGCGTCATGCTCCACATTAATTAGAACTGCTCACATTGAAGTATTTGGCACCTGGTCTTTTAAGGACAAACTAGTATAATATGTTATTACTCTTGTAATGCATATATTGATCTCACTTGCTAAACTACCACTAGCACTCATAAATGCAACTATGTCTCAACTAATATTTTGAAGAAGACAAAACGAAATAACCCCCTGCAACCCAATCGCTATTTTGGAATAAAAAAGAGGATATTGAGTCCTTCAATCTATCTCATATGAGAAGCAGCTTCCGAAAATTATCTATTCGCATAAAACAACGAATGTTCCAACCAATTAAATATTAGTGTCCAAGTCGTGTTTGATTTCTGTCAATTGGACAATGCACAGGATGGGCAAACAAGTCTTTTGACAAATACTTTGAGACTTGATGAACCCATCTTAACAACATACGCAATCCACTCTTTATAGACTTAAGCACTTCTTTTTGAAATGTTTTCAATACTCAAAAGTAAAGCCTACTCTGGATAGAGCTCATGTAACTATTTCCATATAACTGATTCAATTCACTTATATATACTAATTGGGTCATCGTAATTAGGTTTATCCTTGAAATTTTGTGTCATAACTATTAGGATGGAGGATGATTTCGATATAAGTAAATAACATTTTTATAAAAACCGCTAGAATAAACAAAGAAATTACTAATGAGAAAATAACAGCCATGAGTAGGTCACCTTTGCTCAATTATCGATTTTGTGTAGTTTGAAAAACACATTCCAAAGAGTTTATCAATAAAAATTGTTTACTCACCTCATTTCAAAAATAAAATCAATAAAACTAGGTTAATAACAGTAGTTTATCACGGCAACTACTTGTTTTATTGATAGAAATCTAAAGTATACTTTTATTTTTCGGTCTAATTACGCAGATTGTTAAGATTAATATCTATTGTTAAACGATAACACAATCAGAAAATTCTTACAATTTCATATTTACATTCCTAATTAAATAAATAACTCCACAACTATAAATGATACCTCACCATGGTGGTAAGGTTTGCTTATTGTGATAGCCAGATAGTTATTTTGGTTGAAACACTTATTCCTATCGGTTTTATTATGTCAGGCAGGTTAGCTGAAGAACGATAAGACTAAGAGCAATAACTTGTAGATGACGAAGTTATGTTGCTGGCCGTACTGGGTTGTGATGGTAGTAGTTCCTCCCAGACAAAAAGCATTCACAAAGACACTATCTTTTCATAACGTAAAGAGGTTAGAAAAGGTTGACCATGAAAATAGCGAATCTCGCGTTACCCTATGGATTTCCGATGGCATTACGAGTTCCAAGGTATGGAGATAGCATATGTGAGACTTTCCACAAAAAGGCCATGTGTCCAGGAATAACCAGTTTTCCGTTGATATTTTCAATCAATGCAACAAAGGAATACTGCAGAAAAAAGTGTTTTCATTGTAACGTTAACTTTATGATTGCAGAAAAAGCAAAAAAACAAAACCTTTCTTTTATTCTGTTAAAGTGAATACGCAGTGACTACACACAATAATCGTATTGCTCACACTTTAATATATCCATGTTGACCTTGCTTTATAACTAAACCTTTTGCCTTCTTTAGAACCATTTTAAAATGAAACTGCTAACTCTGGGTTAATAAAATGGGTCTAGTTAACGTATGATCCCGACGAAACTTCAACTATTGTATGTCAGGTCTACCCCTATTTTGCAATCTCGCTATCATTATCGGAAAATCGTTCAGTCAGTAAACGAAACTCTTATAGTCGATATTCAAACGGATTTCTAGTGAACGATGGATTGTATTATGTGGTCATGAGTAAAGATATGTTTTAAGTATCCTAGTTTAATCACTTTTAGTAAAACGTTATGGTGACAATTTCTAGCTGCCTGATTGAATTATTATTGTTCCATAAACGGTACATAGATTGTATGCAAATAATCAACCTAACGATTCGGAGATTGTAAAAATAACTTAAACCTGAAGAAAATAATTAAGATACTTGTTTAAACTAGTTGTCGTGAGAAACAAGCTAACGACAAGTACACAGAATCTAATAATATTCTCCCGTTGTAAACCAGGAATATTTTCTAATGAGATTTAACAAATGTTACATAAATCCAAATGGTCTATACTCATTATCAACGGACGCCAAATGGGACGTTTATTCAGACCTTTCTGTGGATACTCCCCTTCGACACAATAAACTGTTGTTGAAGGGAATCAACTAAAATTATAATAATGGTGGCCTAAAAATTCAAATCTTATTTATATGCTCGGTAGCTAAACAATTAAAAAAAATTTAAGCAATAAAAGCAACTTGTCAGTGGATAAACGTTGTTATTCACGTGCTAGAATATATGAAATGTGAATATAAACTGGTAATTATTACAAATCTAGGTCGTTCAGTATCAAATTTTATCAAGGTTACACATATCATACAAACCAGACATTTAAATATAAATTACATCACAATTATAGTTTCGAAAATCTCTTGTGGCTGATAGAGAACTTTTTCCAGCTGCTCAAAACTGTGGAAAGGAACAACGAATTAAAACCTTGTTCGAATGAATCACATTTCTGCTTAATAATACAAGATCACAATATAATATAAATATGTACACTTGTTTACAATAATGTGTCTTTACGATGTGATTAGTAATGAGATTTTTTATGTTTTTTCTTGGATTTTGAATGATGATCGTCCCGATCTCTTGGGTCCTCGCGATCATAAGAATCACACCTAGGAGTTGGTGACCTCCGTGGAGATCTGTCAGAGATTCGATTACGCGCAAATGCATAAGCAGCTGGTGGTGAACGATGGCGCCTTCTACGAGCCTACAAACGAGGTAAAATTCGTGCATTACAATATAGCGTCTTTATAAATGAACAAATTGAAATAATAACAAAATGTATTGGAGTATCATTGCACCGTTAAAGCGAAAAGAACCCTTGATTAATAGGGTATTCACATATTTAAAAAGTCAAAAGCATTAACATACTTTGTTCTCGATTTCCAAAGCTTCTCGACGACGTTTCATGTTAGCAACTACAGCATGTGCGACGGCTGCAGGGACTGAATCAGGAGCTGGTGGAGGTGACGAACGATACCGACTAGCCGTCGTTGATGTGGTATTAACTGTCGAAGATTTGGAGATAGTTGTACTAGTATTTATACTTCCTTTTGTGATAGAATTAGTTAATTTCAACTGGGTAACCAATTGGGCAGCTTTTTTACGCCTTTCCTCACGCAGACGCTCTTCTTTAGCTGTAGGGACCGTAACTTGATAACCATCGGCAGAGAAGTCTAAAAGACTTGTAGGTTCATGTATATCTATCATTTGGAGAGAATGAACAACATAATAATTCAGCAAACTTGTTTGTAAAGTACGTTACATCAAATTAAAAAGTATGCTTTAATGAAACTAAATAACGGAAACTTATTGTATGCAAATATAGATCAAGAACAAAGACTGTGTTTACCTAATAAATCTTCAAGAGCACATGAAGGCCAGTTGGAGGTTAAATGTGAGCTTGAATTAGATATCGACTCCACAGGAGAACACAAATTATTATCATAGGGTGAAGTGATGTTACAGATAGACTGAACAGGAGACTGAATGTTATGCACTTGTTTATTTCTCTCATTTCGCTCAACGGATATGGAGGGTGATGTACAAACAGAATTCGAATTTGAAGCTCCACTAGAACGATTTGTGTAAGAGTATGGACTTTTAACTTGAGGTGGAGAAGATTCCGAGGAAGACGATGAACTAGGACTGGGAATACCAGGTATAACACACATTTTTGGAGATCGAGTTTTTCTCTTCCGTGATTTTGACTGACTGTCACTTTTCGAATGACTCAATAACCTATTAAGTTGTTCGTTAGTCCGTCTTAAACTTTTGGAAACAGATTCTGAGTACTCTAGTGCAGCGGCTTCAATTATGTCCATAATTTCTCCCGCCGACGTTTCTGTATTTTGAGTGGACTGAGACTTTGGTGGAATCGGGCGAGCTAATCGGAAACTGATGCCAGTTTGACGTTCTGAATTATAAGCTTCAAAATCATCTTTTTTGTCTTTATGAGAATCATGAGACTGAGGATTTTCTGTAAAAGAAATGTTAGAAGAAGTTATACAGAAATATATAGGACAAGTATGAATTCATAACCCGAAACAAAAAAGCTGTAAGTATTTATTTATAGTAAGTATTAGTAAGACCAACTAAACTGGAGTTTATGTATATTTCCCTTATGATAGTAAATCCATTAACCACAAAGAATGTAGCATAAACGAGTTCAAGACCTTGAAATATTCGCTGCATAAAAATACAACTGGAAGGAACTCCTCTAGTAATGAACGCCTGTACATACTCAAGACTCATATTGTAGTCAGAATAGTCAAAAGAGATTTGGATAAGGGAATTTAATAATGAGAAACTATAATTATAAATTCTTTAAAATAGATGTATTTTTCATTTTTATAACGCAAAACGTTGAACAAACGATTAGACCAAAAGACTTTTTTAAATTGAGGATATGTGAATGTTCATAAAGTTTGTACTATGTTTACAGAGAAATAAATACTAATTACCATCCAAACTACTTACTAAGAGAACCATTTTTCGTTTTATTATCTTGAAACATTGTTTCAGGCTTTTCATTTGAATCCAATTTTTTTGACGAGCTTACTTTAAATGATTTTGAAGGAGGTATATTACCAAAATTAGAGTCTGCAGCTTTAGTCAAGCTATCATCAGGGTCTAGTTCTTTTCTTTTAGCCATGTAATATGAATGTAAAGGATGATCTGATTTCAGAAATCCAAATCGTGGATCTTTGCTTTTTTGTCGAATGACCAATTCTTCAAATTCTAAACCATTACGAACAACATATTCTGCCATTTTATTTATAATACCACGCTGTTCATCACTAAGTGGAGGTCTGCAAAGAATATCAAAACAGGAATGCCGTGGTTATAGGGTACAAAAGCAATGTGATATATATATATATATATATATATATAATAACCCACCACCTTTACACATACTATGATTATAATGTTACTTACTTACTCCTGTTACTCCCAATGGAGCATAGGCCGCCGACCAGCATTCTCCAACCCACTCTGTCCTGGGCCTTCTTTTCCAGTTCCATTCAATTCCTGTTTATTTTCCTCATGTCTATCTCCATTTCCCGGCGTAATGTGTTCTTTGGTCTTCCTCTTTCCCTTTGGCCTTGAGGATCCCATGTGAGGGCTTGTCTAGTGACGCAGTTGGATGCTTTCCGCAATGTGTGTCCTATCCACTTCCAGCGCTTCTTCCTGACGGTAGTTTCAGTGTTAATGTCAATTTTAAAATTCAATTTTTTTTCAGAAGCCGGATCACACTTATAAATCGGCAGGCATTCTGCAATTATTCCCGGAACATATTTATAATATCGCATATAAGTTTTTATATTGTTGCTGAATTTCACCGTGATTTTTTAGTACTAATCTATAGTCTTGCGAACATGATTTACTTCTAATCTGCATTACAATACTGAAGAAATGAGTTAAAAAAGATTTCAGTCAACCGTAAGGCTGTACGGTGAGTGTTGACAATCGACGACACATCGTTATACGGGTCATGTACCTCAGAATAAACAAAGTAATCTTGTTTATTTTCTTATTATCCTTCAAAAAGTAATAACGTGAAAAGATCGACAAGTGATAATCTTTAGGTTTCCTCGAAATACTGCCTATGTTTTTTTACATTTAACTAGATAGAAATAGTGGAGTAACACTGTTCAAATCACAAAAGATAAGTTAGTTGATGAAGTAATGAATTTGAATCAACTAAATTAATTGCGCTGGTGCATATGACAAACTAGAATCTGTTCAGAATAGCTAGTGTGGTTAAGAAAACTCATTATGACATGTAACTGATCAGTAGAGTAAGCGATATAAAACGTAAGTAAATTGCCGAGTTTATGGTTAAAAGTCACCACATCCTAGACAACAATGCTTAGAGACCTTCGATGGTATAATGAAAACCAGATTTTAAAGATGCAGATCAATTACTTCATCCTCCCTCTAAGAAAACTTGAACACCAAGTTGTTCTGTATTCATCTGCGTCCTGTATAACTACGCCATATATCCGATCAATTTTAAGTTTTTTGAGTCTGTTGATCGTATCGTTATGGAGTTAAAAAATATGAGATCTTGAACTCAGCCATTATTGTGCGAGGTTGGATACTGTCCAGTTTGTCTCTTTCTTTCTTACAATACTTGAGGAAAATTGCTTGACTATTGCAGAAGGAAAGAATATATGAACTTACTATAAATCTGAAGAATTAACAAGATTTCGATATACATATATATATTAAAGCATAAAACTCAACTATCAGGACATTAACACGATGAAGAAAAATGCATCAAATACAGCTGAAAAATATATAGCTGTATTGAGTGATCTTAACACAAAAATACTAGAGCAAGCAAGTACACTATGAATTATAGGTGTATATTACTATTTCCACGATTACTGCTGATTAAAATAACAATATTATTAATAATAGCAAGAGAAAAACTTACTCGAACATTACTGGAGCACTAGCTTTTAAACGTGTTTGTTGGACAACATTGACTGCAGCCGCAGCTGCTATAGCGGCTGCCTTAGCTGCTTCTTGTACAATATTGAAACTTTCATCATTGACATACTCAGATAAAGCCCACTGGTTAGAATAATGTGTGTAATAGTGAGCATAGTAGTGTTTATAATACTCCTGGTAAATACGTTCATACTCTTCTGGAGACAAAGGATCTACTAATTCTGATATCACATTGTCTTTCCCAACTACTTGAACATCAGTAAGGCTTTCATTAGTAGCAGAAACGTCGGCTTGGACTTCAGATTGTGGTGAGGGAGTCTTCGTCTTTTCTGAATCCAACAGTTTATTATTGTCTTTAAGGCTGTCCAAAGAGTTATTTTCAACCTCACTAGGATCGTAAAGAGGACGTTCTGTTTCAGTCAATGCCTCAGGAGTAGCGATAGAAGACTGGATATCAGAAACAGGGGTGACACGATTTGCAGCTGCGACAGCTGCGGCCCTGTAATGGTACAATAAACATCAAAACTTAAGCAGTATTTTAAGTAAATTTGAAAACTACCTATTTTATGCATACATTGCAAAATAACCGGAATTGAGCGACAGCTCGATAATAACAGCTCAAATCTGAACAAATTTCACAAGCTACATTGGTTACTGTCAGGAGTATCATTGCTGCTACGCTGGTTTGTAACTAGTCCATTAAAATTCAAAACTCTGACTACTAAAAGAAAACAGAAATCTAGCAACAGTTTGATAGTAGTGAAGCTGTAACTTCAAATAAGACGATAGCGCAGAAGAGAACACTAAACATACAGCGAGTAATAAATCTATGAAGACATACGTTGAATGTGTCTAATAAACTAAATTAACAATGAATCTTAAAACCTTACGTCATACTACAAAGGAATAAGTACACAATTTTGTGCAACGAACATGTTATAGATAAACTATAAGACACTAGCGAACGACCGTAAACTATGCTTACATCTGAGTTTCAAAAAATGTTGTGAAGACTGATAGCTGAAAATAATCAGACACAAACGCATATTTCAAAGTTCATTATTGCTAAAAAGCAAATCATTTTTAGCTGACTCTCTACTACCCTAAATATACAGCGAAGCCAAAGTACTTATTTGCTATAATTATATCAGATTCTGCAAAAGACACACAACTATACTAAGATGTATCCATCAACCAACCCCTAATCAAAGGAATGTTACGAACATACCGAAGAAATCTAAGTCTCATGTTTGATCACATCCTTATCTCCCAAATAGTTATAAACGAATTAGGCTTCCGAACAAATGTGCATCAACTTGGGATGCTGCACTTCACAAAAGCAGGGTATGATGAAATCAACAAAATCACAGTGATATTGTAGATAGTAAAAAAACAACCAATGTAGACAGTTAAGATCGAAAAGAACAAATAAACTTCGAGGGTTCAAATGTATAGGGAACTATTGAGACTTGGAGTTTAAAGAAACATAAGGAAAGGATGATACAGTTTCATTATTGAGACGAATTTGAAGGCAACACCCAATTAATCTAATCATAGATTAGGATCATTTCGTTGACCTCAGTTCCAAATTGCCTATCTCTCTTCAACATATGACAACTCTATGAACTGAGCTTTTTCTAATTCATTTGTGCTAGGTAGCATATTATACTGGGGTCTCAACCATGTCAGTCAATGAACGTGCTCATCAGTGGATTTATTATTGCTATGCTGTAACCTATCTCTAACCTCTGTATAACCTATTCGACGGTTTCACCAGGTTACAATATAATCTGTAAAATCAGAGTGAATCATTTGAATATTTTTTGCGTATGCAGTACATTTACTTGAACACTGTAAATATTCCCCATGGTTAAGCCACCAATTAATATTATCTATACCGATGGTTTTATTTCTGAAATTAGAAGAATTCTGAGTAATCTGGATTTCCATGAATTTACCGTGTAAACAGAGAAATAAAAGCATTCACTTGTTATATGAAGCAAGAATCCCATTCCTTTAATAAATAATTAGGAATCACGAAAGTTCGTGGTGAATTTAAATCATTACTTTGTATAAACAAAATAATTTAGTAGACTGCAATCCACAATAAGAACCAAAGTAACAACATTCGTTAAAAGGAAGTTAGTATTTTAGTTCAAATCCGGAAATTATCGTATCACTGAACTTACATTTCATTAATTTTCTTGAACTTGGATATTAGTGGAGCATATGATGTATTTGAAATGTCCACCTTTGGTAGCTTCAACTCGTAAACATCTTCATGAATTGACTGAAAACAACGGAAAATAGAGGTATGTATAATCTTAATAATGAATATTTACACATAACAGAGGTAAGTTCCGAATGCATAAAACTGTTCGCAAGATAATCATGACTGGGTGTAGATAAGCTTTAAACCTGAAGATACCTGGTGTTAAGTGGATAATTACTTACAAACCTAAAAAAACCAGCTTACATTCCTCGTTTAAACTATCCTATTTCTTCTTCTAAAAAGTGTGACGGCAATATTTAGAGAATGCATAAAACGAATATTTCACACAGCAACGTGGAGCTCATTAGATGATACATAAAACTGATGCAGTAAGAATTGTGACCACGTGTAAAAAGGTCATACCAAAGAAACAGCACTTAACACTACTAAGTGAGGTAATTATAACGATCTGGAGACTCAAAAAACTTGACACTTACCTTGTTTGACTCGTCCGAACTTGTAAAGAGTGTCCCACTTGGTTTATCTGTAGTCTGACGAGGTTTTGGAACGTACCGACCTTGGGAAATTAACCTCACAATCTCCTTGTAGAAGGGATTAAGTGGGTGGTCATAAGTCAAAAAGCCAAACAGTGGATTTTTATTTTGTTTAGCTTTAAGAACTATTTCCATTTGACTTCCTTGTCGAGAGACGAAAACAGCAGTTTTTTCAATGATGTGAGCTTGTTTATCGGATTCCGGAAGTTGGAAATTCGACAAGAGTTGTTGTAGCTCAGGAGGACAGTTATATGGCTCTTCAGAGTGCTGTTCATTAATCCCAGGCTCAGCTAGTTTAGAAAAAAGAGATTGCTTTGAAACGAAAAAGACTTTGTTCATTTAAGCGATGACGCAACATACCAGAAAGTGACTATTTACTTTTGTGAAATAATCTGTTAACAACCCAACATTCATGAATCTTCGTCAGTTTATGCCGCCCTCATATTAAGGCAACTAACCAATCAGATCGATTTGAATCTACTATTGCAATTGAATGAAAAACTCTGGAAGCAACCATATCATATAAAATGTTCATGCAACTTAAAGGATTTTTGGCATATATTTGTCAGATGTTCTTACCAGCTCATTTGTTGACTAGACGTTAATTAGAATGTTAAACAATAGGAAGTTGATAAAGTCAAAGTAGAGCGACGAACTAGAGTTTTTGGCAGTTAGTTTGGATCTACAAAATTAAAGGACTAGACAGGATCTGTAACAGAAGGTAGCGAGTAATTATGATGTGATATACTGGACATTAATCCCCAAGACATGTGATTTTCTAAATACGATAACTTGAGAGTTCATTAATCATTTAAAATTGAACTGCCAGTAAAGTCATCTTTATTAAATGGTTGACAATAGTATTCAAATATTAACAAGTCATGCGGATTATTCTTGCATAGCAGTTAACAGATAGTAATAATCCGAGTAAATAATTAAGCTGGAGAATAAATTTCATTGGCAAACATATATTCCAATTCAACATAAAATACCAATTTCTATAAAATAGCAATTACTTACTTGATCCCTTGTTAGCGTATGATTTGTCGCCATTTGGTTGAGAAGCATTTTCATCATAAGAGAAGCTAACGGCTCCATAGTCATTGCGAGATCGTTCAGCTTCACGTTTTCGAGCTTCTTCTAGAAAACAAAAAACAGGACGAATGATATATATGGGAATGGAAAACGTGAGTGTAGGAGTTTGTTTTAAAAAATGACTTATGTTTAATTACATTGAAAGTATACTTATTCCCATAGCCTCATCAGGCTCGAATTGCATGTCCCACTCCAAAAACAACCTGCAAGATATAAACAGACGTAAAACGTGTTAATCTCTGGAGCATAAAATGTGCAGTGGATGCACTAATGAACATAAAAACCCAAACAACGTTAATTTAGTGACAATCACAGCAAATATCAAGTTAAAAGGACTGTATTCTGTTGATAAACATTACTTACCACGTAAGACGAAGTTGTCAACATACGTTTACCAAAGATGTGTTGACTCAAAAGCTAAGAGCACATTAACAATCAGCAAGGGTGGTATTGCAGAATACATCAAAACACAAATACAAAAGTAAACTCACCATCTTGAATTGCGAGTTCATGGACGTCCACTTGCATTTCCAAATAACGTTCGAAATCACACATCTTTTCTATTGCAATTTCTTCTTCAGACAAGTGATCGTCAGGACTTAAATCGCAATTAGGATCTTCCTCATAAAAATCAGTGAGATACCCACGTCCATCGAACCTGAAGGTAGCGAAATGAAAGTCAGTTGACGACAAAATTGGGATAAAACGTATTAATTTGAGGAATTAGATAACTGTAGTACTGAAAACTTTATGTAAATTTTGGGCTACTTAGTGATAATATTGTTAATACGTTTGTCATCCCATCAAGTGAGATAAATAAAAACGATAGATAAATTGAACATTAGGCTGATTTGAAACTAAAGAACATGTTGAAAGAGATCGCTATACATACATGGCACGTGGACACCGGTTACATGAAGTTGACAACCATATAAGCTAACCCAAAGTAACGCGGAAGTTGCTCGATCATTCACTATATCTTAGATAAACAATGACTAGAAGACACTCCCTAGGTATTTTAACATATACATTCTCAGAGTCAATTTGAGAACCTTTAGTACTGGTGAATAAGTGAAGTAAGCAAACTGATACAAGTTAATACTTGTGATCGACTTGGCAGACAATATGAAAAACTAATCGTTCGATGAAACTAAGCAACTAACGGCAGGTTCATATAATAAGGCTTGAACGACAGTTATTATGCAAGGGGGAGACATCACTTATATATTTAAGCCAAAATTGAATAGAATTATAACGTATGTGGTTAAGGGATCAAAACAAAAATGTAAACCGAGATTTCACTAACCACGGTTTTATAGAAAGATCGTTTATCGCTACAAACACTGACACCTTGAGGCTGTCCTAAATTTGATTATTAAAAGATATGAATTTTAACGATAATTCAGTACATAAATGTTTTGTTGGAAGACATTATGTATGTTTTACTTTCAATTGCTATATTTATATTTGCTAAGATTTTTGCACAGATTCAAGCTAAACACCCATATAATCATGTCTACTAGTGAATTAGTGCGAGGTTAAAGAATTTTCAGAGTTATATAAGACAAATAGTGTAATTTGTGAAAACATGAGTTACCCTAAAGCCTGAAAGCCTAGTATACATTAAGATATATATACATATGTTACGTGACACACTTCCTTAAAATCAAAGACCAAGTAACGCCAAAACTGAAATTATCACAAGGATAGAGCAATTTTTTAATATAACAGATAATCAACACACTGAAATATCTATAATACCATCTAAATTTAGTATTTTGATACTAAGACTAAATTTGAACATTTTTACTGAGATGAATAATTACATGAACAGAGTATAAATCCAATGACAAATGGTTAAAGAGCATCGTTACATTTAAAACGACATATTGTGGGACTCTTCAGCAGTGCCTATCCACAATCCCACTCGCAGCATTCGAACCCAGGGCGAGCGGGATCGTGGATGAGCACTGCTGGGGAGTCCCGCAATAGGACGAAACGGCCGTCCAGTGCTTTCAGGTTTTCAGTGGTGGTCTAACACTAATCGGTTCATGATCTCAATCGAAAATCTAATAATCTCCACAGCCCCTATTACTGATAAAACGACATAAGTGGACTGTTTGCACAAGAATATACCCGTAAAAGTTGAAAGACAATAGTTCTGAATGTAAGCATGATTGTACTACCTAATGCGCGAACTGACACCTGAATAGCTTGACTGACAACAGAGTTCTAACCATAGTCAATCAAAAGCAACGCAAAGCATGGAACAAACATGCCCAAGGGTAGTTTGAAACACCAAGATAATACTAGAACGGTGAGAACTAGTGAAGTAGTAGCAAAAGTATCATTGACAATCTACACTAATGCTGAAAATTTCGCTCTTTACAGCCTTACATCCCCTGTCACAGATTACGGTCTTTGAGCGGACTCCAATCAGGTAATCTGAATCTAATGAAATAATTCAGCCCAACAGTCAATAATTCCAAAGACTGATACATCTTCGTTTGACCACCATTAGCTTTCTCCCATCTTACTTATACGCCAGTCAGCGTTCCACCTTGGAGTAGGATGTGAGTGAATGTACGCGATGGGTGTCCTAGTTGATAATGACTCACCTTTGTCAAACGACTCACTGAATTTGTCTACTATTCTATCCCTAACCTTAGTATTGTTCACTTCGTCGTTCTACAATACGTGGGCGATACTTTGAAGACACCTATGACCAAATACTAGTAACCTACGATTACCCTCTACTTTTCGAGGCCAAGCTTCACAACCATAAACTAAAATAATGGAATACTGAGAATTATATTTTTCTCTTGATTGGGAGATGGATATCTCGCCTGTACAACTGGGGGTTCAAGTTGACGAAGGATTTCAAACGATCAAAAGTCCACAATAAACCCCGACCGTGATAGTTCTTCGCTTTTAGCAACATTTACGTATAAATTAAACCCATGCTTTTGTTTAGTAAATTCTTCTTGGTAGAGAGATCATGATATTGGACAAAAAATGTAGGGTGGAAAACGATGTTTCCAAGATTACCGTTTCATCTTTGATGTCATCCAGTCTTTTTGTAAGCGAAGTCGGGCGTGGCTTGGGTGTTACGAAATACAAAAACACGTTTTAGGACTACTCAGACGAGCCCAAACTGATAGCAAGAACGAGGGTTACAGCAGCTAAAGTGTGAGGAAGATTTATGTTACTTTTTAGTAATCTTGCCTATTTTACACAATAGCTGACCACCTCTTAAGTACATAAGGAAAGCCCATAGAGAACTGTATACAAGCAGCTGGCCCATGTCTGATTAAGGATACTAACTCACTTGGGTGTATTCAGCGTGTGGAAACAAAATTTGTGAAGGGTTTTTCTGAACTCCCTTACGATGAGTGTTTGAAATGCCTAAAACTATTTCCCTTGTCGTATCGTAAGACGCGAGGTGACTTTGTATTCGCACTTTGTATTCTCAATTACGACTTTGGAGTTAATTTCTTATCATTTTGCTCTCTCCAGCGCTAATAATCTCCGAGGTCATGGCAAGAAGGTTCACAAACTGCGATCAAATAAACTTGAAGCGGGGTTCCGTTTTTCTCATCGGGTGTTCAATGACTGGAACGCCTTACCCGAACAAGTGGTATTAGCCCCATCAGCGGACATTTTTAAAGAGAAGCCAGACCTTCAATGGAATGCAAACTGTCAGGATTAACACAGGTTCATTAACCTACTGTCCTTATTACTGAAGACTGAAATGGCTTGATAGAAGTTATTTCTGCAATTGTGTACATTTAACTCAAACCTTTAAAAAGTCAGAGTGGGTTATAAACCGTGTACTTATCATTCACTCCTAAGACTTCGACTGTCTAGTATTTTGTAATCCTACCGAAGCCACCTCATGAGGGTGTTACAAGTTCTATGCAATAACCCCTCACATATACTCTGAATAAACTCTATCCCACAGCACAATCAGCTTCCAAAATTTAGCTAGGCAGTTGCCTTGGTATGTCTCATATTAAATATAAGCAACTTTTTGAGGTAATGCTCGCCTACTATCGATTGATCTGTAAAATATTTAGGTCGACGTAAAAGAAACTGACATGAAACATCTAACATCCAAAAAAAGGAAAACGTTACCTCACCATCTGAAAAATAAGTCAGGATGCACAACTACATAATTATTTGCAAATTATACGAATAATGTTATGAATAACAGAGCCTGACCTATCAATCAAAATTGACTTGTCACCACACCATGGTATTAGTAGTTTTTCCCCATCAACTTCAAGAGCTTTTTCCCGATCATCAAACAAGGTACAGCTTGTACCTTCTACCACAAACTGTTTTTCTTCGCTACAATCATTCATCTTAGTCGGAGGTCAAATCTCGCGCCGCAGTCTCTCCATACAATTTTAAAAAAAGAAGTTGTTCCAAATGATTTCGGACGAAATAGATGGAGCCTCCGCTTAACGGGCTTCCGTATCCAGTAGCAGTGGATCAACGATTTCATCAGGTAGGAACCTAAATATTTTTAAAGATAAGAGAAAAAATACTATTAAATTATTGTGAGATACTGTCCTTCGACCTTAAGAATATGTCAGGTTTTCTCTTCAAGCACTCCTTGTGGGTCTCTTGGACTGGAAAAGCAGTCAGTGAATTCCAGAATTTGACCGCTCTTAAGGAGTAGGAGGTGTGTATACAGTCCTCTCTGCTGTTGTCTCCACTTTCTCGGTGTCTTCTCTAAGGTTTGTGTTAGGAGTGAGCGTAGGTATGTATTTAGGGGATGCTCTTAGCCGTCAGAAGGTTTTCTCTGGGACTCATATGGTTTAATGGGCAACGGTTCAGTGATTTATGGTGCTCTCCATAATGACTGAATTTGAATTTGTGGCTAGCCGTTGAATACATTTCAATGTATCCTTGTCCTTTTGGAGTAATGGAGAAAACACTGTGCTTCTACACCCTAAATGGGGCCGAATAATGCGATTGAAGGTTAAGCAAAAAGTTCTGTTGTCGTACGGGCGACAAATGTGCTTTGGTGTTACCAATGCAAGGTTTACTCGAAAAGCATTCTTGTCGCAGTTACTTAAGTTGCATTCGTAGTCTGTTACATGTCTCAGATGGACTACTTTACGATACTTTCTAAGGAACATCGTTTCTATAAATCATTAAAAGAAGAGGTTTTAGTATTGAACCCTGCGGACCTCATTAGGACATTTCATAGCCTGAAAAAGGTGGCGTTTACCCTGACCTTAAAAAGTCGACAATTTAGTTTAGAAGCAAGTCAATTAATTAGAAGTGAGTTGATCGCTCCAAAAAAACTTAAAAATCCCACAACTAACATTAGTTCATCCAGAATAGTTTTTTGATGGAACTATTGTCCCTTTGAATCGTTAACACACAATATTTGCTCATTATTTTCATAAGTAAGAAAGTCGAGTATGCACTTTGCAGCTTGTTATGATTCTAAAGCACATTCAGTGAAAGATGGCTATAGCCTCGTCGTCCTCACACTGTCTGGAGAAATAGGCCGCCTAACATGTTTGATGTTACCACAGAAGATGACCGCTGAATTGAATAACAATTGCATCTGCGAAAACTATTTCTGCAACACATCGTTGTCTTACCGCTGTTTTACTACACTCCTAGGGATTATATAGCTCCGATCGACCGCCTACCATTCACAAGCTAGTGGTTTGGTGGGATGATTTAGCCGAAAATCAAAGCCTCACTTTTCACCTGCACACATCAGAACTCTCAATGCAATGGAGGATGACGTTGGACGCACCACAGTCAAACTCATACATGACTCGGCGCTTCAGCTTTGAAGGTAGTTCGGACCTCTCTCATCGTCTTCAATGAGTGTGGATCTAAAGTGCACAGGCCAGGTTACAAACATTATGAGTTCAGTTAAACCTGCTATTTATTTTGGGAATTTATTTACCGCTACAGCCGGCATGCGTTAACGGCAACCGTAGCCGGCGAACATAGCCGTCTGCTATTCGTCACAGATGTGACAACGAGAGTTCGCTACCTCGTCGACACTGGCGCAGAAGTTAGCGTTCTCCCAGCAAATCCTAACGACCGACTTCACGAAGCACACAGTTGACGAGTCACCAGGTTAAGGAGTCGAAATTTGGGAGTAACCTCACTAATCTCACTATAAATTGAACTCTAACTTTGATATAAACATGATAAGGTAAATAACATTTTTGGTTGTGATTATTTGAATGAAACAGGTTCTGATTCATAATAAATTTAATCCCACTTCGAACTCGGGACCTACCTCTGTTATTAACTGGAAACATTGGTTTCAAACACTCAGTGAAAATATCTAACAACTTTGAGATAGTATAAGGGTTGCGAGCGTACGAATTCATCGAGTTTTGAGTGTTAAAGGTCAAATGTATCCTAAAATACGGTCATGATAAATGAAAATTTAAGACGTATACAGTAACATGAAATGTTTGCGTGTATTTATATGGAATGAAAGAAAGGGAAGGTTAAGAATAATCCAAGCATTTGGTGAGGTTTTAGTGGGGTTGCAATATTCAGAATTGTCGAGCGGTGTTATTTTTACTGCTAGACTATCAGGTCTGATACAACATGGTTGACTTACAATGACGTGACCATTTAATATATGAGATATCGTTTTGATGTTTCACCACTGTCTACCCTAACGCGACCTATCGTGTTAACCACAGCATGATACATTTTAGAACCTTTAAAGGATGGGTATAATCCTTCCAACAGAATAATGTATCCTACATAATGATGAAAATGTTGCGCAGAGTGACTAAGTCAAGCCATATAGCCTCATTTGCGATCTTGTTTTCACGTTTATTGACCTACAGCACTTTTCATCGTTCAAAGGGAAATTTTTTAAGCTGGAAACTAAGTGTTATTCTAATGTCTCCATAAACTAAGGATCTGCGGGATTCTGGCGTAAACAATGTTACTATCACTATCATGGATTCCTCAAGTAGTCAAGTGAACTTTGGCCTCACCAAGCGATTCGCGATATTTTGATATTCTAATATTGAACCGATTCTCAAGAAATTTTATTGGAGACCGGAAAACTACTAAAAACATGGAATTCATGGAATGGGTTGTTGCAAAAGTACCCTGAATTATTTAACTATCCACAAACTATTTTTGTAAGTTTTGACCCTTTCTAACTGGCGACACGACATAAAAACTAGCTTAAAACGGCTCTGTCGATCTTTACATGTTATCGTGGCTTATGTTGAAATCGTTAAAAATAGGCACTGGAGTCAGTGAGTGCATGCAAATTTTTGTTGTCCTAGATTCAGAAGCTGCAAGGCATTGTGGCCAGTATAGATTACAGGAAAACGGGGTGCTTGCTTTGCAGGTAAACACCATGAATACACTCTTTCTTCATGCTGGAGAAGTTTTGAGTCACTTTCGAATCCATCATATATCAAGAACCTTGGAGATTGAATTTTTTGACGAGAAGTATCGGCAAAATGGGTCGAACTACTCTCAGGAGTATTTAACGCCGTATTACTACTGAATAAACGGACAGAAAAATAGTTCAACCACCGAAGGGTGTAACACCGAGGTTTATTCAGTATACGAGCAGACAAAAACGTACCATGCACATCGCTACATACAGTTCGGCGTTTTCTGAAGTATGTAGGCCTCCTAAAGGTACACAAACTACAGTTCGAGGTTAGCTTATATCCCGTTCCTACTTTTACTTCACCCAACATTTATACTTAGTTCGTTAACATATTTAACTTCGACCTCTAGCTCCACTCATTATTAGTTGTCCATATGTTTCCTGGATTCGTAAAACCTTAATAATGAAAGCCTATGATGTGTGTGAGTGAAAGCATCATGTCGTTCTTAACATCGAAGTCATTTGAAGAAATTATCAAACAAATCTTGGACACTGAACGAATAACTGTGGCCTTGGTCTCGGCCCAATCGTTACTTGGATTGTACACTATCGAGTGGGTAGTTTTTCGGCTGTCTTAAATAGTGACTCAAATTCGAGCTTACTTACAAGGTTAGAGGGAAAGTGCTAATTTTTCTCTCACAATTTATATGTAAATTTGTGTACATAGGCTGTAAATTTTCTGCAGCATTCCCTCGGTTTCAGTAAGATATTTCCCTAAAATAGCTACTATGATTAAAGTGAGGCCGTTTCACTGGTGTTTCGTCACAATATGGTTTCGTTACCGACTTTCTAATATTTAGATCTTTCGTGCAACAATTTTTAATGAATAATATTACCGAGGGATAAATTCATCGTCATTAACTTACTCAGTTGGCATATGGCTCTTAGCCATCGGGTTTTGGGGTTAAAGTTGAGGTTTCCAGTTAGTGTTAGGATTTGCGACTAGTTAATACATATATTTCTATCCTAGGCTGTGAACTCTAACACATTTATAGTCCTTGCCTTAAAATAACCCTAAAATACATTGTTTTTCAACCAGCCATTTGGTTCTTGGCTTTATAACGCCTACTTTGTCCTCCAAGTTGTTACAGTTAATGGCCAACATCCTTGTTTGGTATGTGCTCCATGACCTTGGGGTCTCTTTCTTGATCCTAATTAACTCAGCTTTATGTTGTACTGTTATACTATGATGATGACTAAGCCTTTATATGATTATTTCGGTTTGTTTGACCAATTCATGTGTGTCCTGTTGTATGAACGTCCACGTGTCCCGTTGTCCATATCAAGTTCGAAGCTAAGTTAAAAAATAGGTCTTTAGATTTCTGAAAGGCTGGTAAACTACTCATGCGTTTTAAAGATTTTGTCCCTACTCATATAACCAAATATATTCAATTGCGCATAAATTTATTTGCTTTTAATTTGTAATTGTAAAATTTTCGGAAAATATCCACGTTTTATCTATTCTTCATGTTCTGATATTTTTCAGGAGCTTATAATCTCTTTTACTTCAAGTTCCCAAAGTGTATTCAAATAATCTTTGAATTCTTGTAATTGCTTGTGCAGAGTACTAGTCTAATGTATGATGCTATCTTCTAACCTGATCACGTGTTCAAGGGGTACTTTCTTTATACCTGTTCGGTATTACTTGATGAGAAAGAGTTATGTGCCACCCATACTTGAGCCGGGTGTCTATCCACATCCGAAACGTCAAGTGCCGGAATGTGGTCGGAAAACATTCAAAGAAAGAATCAAAGGTGAGGTACTTAAACTACGTAAGACAGGTTTGTGACAATTCACCGATTTTGTTTGTATACAGTACCGTTTTGTTTGAGCAATTGGGTAACGGCAAAATACCAAAACTTCGTATAGTACAACGTTGTTTCATATATTATTGTGTGCTTCATAATTATTGTGTCCTTGTGGATTAGCTTATTTATTTATTTGGACATTTCAATATTAGTACAAAGGGGCACCAAATACATATGCACCACACAAGTCACTTGATTTGTGTGTGGGCTGTAATACTGTCCGGGTGCCCGGACCGAAGCAGGTGGTTTCCTTAGATGGCCATACTCTGAGCCTTTGACCTAAAGGTCTGATCCACAAGGCAGTGGAGCACCGTCATTAGATGCAGTCCCATGGTAGCCAATGACCAATAATGAGTTCATACTCCATTTGTTCCCGCAGGATACTGGAGCCTATATGCACTATTGGTTTGGAATTAGGGTTTTCCAACTCCTAGGTAGATGTTTCATATCCACCTACCCGGTTAGAGCGCTGGACATTCGCCTCTCGTTCTCCCAATTCCGTAAACAACACCTCCGCCACGGGAATGCAGTGAGTAAGACTTCCTGGACAGTGGCTGTATACGCGTGACCATGTGTGAGCATTTCGAGAGGAAGAGCTGACTTTCCCCACCCTTGGCCGTACCAGGGCATTTGGGTGCTGATTAGTTACAGCCTTT